GAGAAGACGACTTCTGAGCCAATAGCTGAAGATATTGCTTCTAACGAATAGAACGTAAAACCAACGATGAAACAGGACCCAATTGTGTTTCTTAATTAGTAACAAGTTCTTTTTCAAAGATGGTAATAATTGTAGATTGTGTTCCTTGAATACCACGAGCATTGTTAAATGTAAAGACCTTTCTTCACTTTCAATTGTAGTTAGTGGAATTGCATTTTAATTTTAAATTTGATAAGCTAATAAGTTACGGTAAATTGTCTTCTTCAATATACATCCCACCATTGCGCCGGTATACAACTAAAGGATGGTATAAGGTTGGGATGATATGGAATTGTTGGAAGAAATATGTTCCTTGGTTACTGTTTTGGGACTGGTTTGTTTCATCAAAAGTATTGAAGTATATGGTTTCAATATTAATAGCATGGAGAGCATGGTTGCAGTACAATCAACTACCTTTCCCATCTTGGCTTTCTGCCTCGAAACCTGACTGCTATTTTAAAGGCTGTGAATACTTGGATGAACCTAAATTTGGGATTGAATGGAGCTAACATATTATGTCTGGTTCTTAGGTTTTGTCACTGGTGTTACCTCATCCAAAATCAAGTTCTAGAAAAGCTAAAAGGAAAAAGCTGCAAATTTTTTTGGAGTATCATTGAGCTCCTATCAAACATACCATTAGTATGAAGTATTATAGCATATGCTTGTTATTTACATATTTTGGTTGACTTGTAAAATAACCACACGTACTCATGATTCAAGGTCAGACTAATGTTTAAGGATTGTGTTTCACCGGCGCTGCATCGCGCGGGTACACCACTAGTATATATATATATATATATATATATATATAACCTTTAAAGGATCCAAAGTGGTGGTTCATTCAATTACCAAATGCCAATTTAGGTGGAGATGTTGTTTTGCTTAAACATGATGAATTAGTGAGACGATTGTTTACCAATAAATGCAACAGTTAAACTATTTATTACACCATATCGGAACTTGGGACATTGAGGACAGTTACATGATGAGGTCTTAAGAAAGCTAACTCATCGGAAAGAATTAAACAATGGTTTAAATTATCTGTCATATGTCTATGGACACGTTTCGGTTACTTGAAGTACACAAATGTAAAAATCAAACACAAGGCTTTTGGATCACCTAGGGAAGCTTGAAGGCACTAGTATTTGTTGCGACTGAGAAAATTGAGTAGGAGTTGATTTACTTTGTCAGGGAATTGTTCATGAACAAAATGAGAACCTTCAGGAATGTATATGATTTCTAGGTTCGGYACGAACTCCTTGATCCCATTGTCCAAGTATTCCTCCATCCCGGGGAAGCTGAAAAAGAAATCTTTTTCGCCCGTGATAAACAATGCCGGAGCTACAACTATCGGGGCATTTGGGTCTTGGTTTGGAGGTTCAACTCTCTCCAATAATGACCTGCAAGGATTAACGAATTTGAGGTCAGCATGGAAAAGGAGATGCAAAAAGAGCTACAAGAACAACCTTTTTGTGTGTTGCGTTCTAAAATATCCAAAATTAGCAAGGTAGAAWTTTGATTACAACTTATTCTACGAGATTAGAAGTCTGTAAAGAAATCTATATATTGTAACATGATAGAATCGATAAATTACCTGTAAGGAACTTGGAGTGCGGTTAGAAATCCAGACTTGGTGTACGAAGCACCATAGGTCWCAAGATCCTCCTCCGTGAACCAAGAGGGTAGAGGAGCCGACGGTTCCACTAAATCCAATACTTCCTGGTTTTCATTGGCTATAGGCACTTCACTTCTGGAAAACAAAATGTAGATCTTTCTCACCACKGTTTTAGCATCAAACCGACCGAAATCAGCTTCAGCTCTTCCAGGTTCCTAATAAAGATTTCAATTGTAATGTTAATTAAACTGCATTGGAGATTTAAAGAAGGAAAGAGTGTGAGAAAGGGTGGGTGTAGTACCTGCCATCTCCGCATGTAGAAACCTTCAGGGAGGGTTTGAAGTTGCTGCAAGGCCTCAGGGGGCATGTATGGAATACCAAGTGTTA